CACCTCTCGATCCTGTCACGGCTCTCTGCCGTGACAGGGGGAGGGGCTGGATTCCCCTCTCCGATCTGCCAGTGCTGACTGGCGGAACGGACGGGGCGGGTACAGCTGGCTCTGCCTCTAGATAGGCAGAGCCAGCTGTCACTCACGCAGCTGGGCAGATCCCGACATCCATGTCGGGATCCTCTCCGGCGTCTCAGTATACCGCGAGCTGTAACTCGCGGTATACTGAGCTTAGGGTAACGGGAGGACGCTAGTTTGTGTCCTCCCGTTACCCTAAGGAGAACTATGGGGAAAAACACTGACCCCATAGTTTAACTCGAGTATAGGGTCACTTTAAAACCTCCCAGTGAGCCGTCTGATGAGGGAGGGTTCATTGATGTGACTAAACTTCGGAGTTCTGTAATCAAGAAACTTTTTGCACAATTAAAAGCTTAAATAGCTGAATATGAGAATGGAGACTAGAGTTCCATCCACTGGCTGAACTAAAAACAAACAAACTGCATTATATTAATAAGCAATATTTCATTTTTATTGGAGTAAAATATCTTGAAAAAAAAATGTTTGTCCTTGCCATGACAGTTCATTATATTACGGTACTGCAAAGATAAAAAGATGCACATGTATTTAATCTTCAACTGCATTTCAGATTTCAGTGTGTTTAAAAGCAATAACAATTTAAACGTTTATAGCGAGATATTGAGCCAATGCATCTGGAATTGGAAGCAAAAGAATCCTAATCTTACAGGAAGCAATTTAGTAGCCCATATGTATAGTCACACTTGGATAATCCCATTTATTAGGGGAGGTCACAAAAGAAAATTCCATTTTATTTCTGCAAGACTATTTTAAGATTTAATGGGACTCATTTTCAAAAAAAGAAAGCCAAGGAAATGCAAGTAATTTCCCATAGCAACAAATTCAATTCTGGCTATAATTTTTCTAGCGCAGGTTTAAAAATTAACTTAAACACCCGGTTGCTATGGACAACTGCATTTTTCCATTGTGACATATCTTTATAAATGTGCTGACGTCACAAAACACTGGTGCAGCAATTATGGCATAGAAGCAAACATGTAGACAAAATAGTAAAACAATACCATTACTATAAGCATTTAACATGCCAAATAAAAACATGCTAAGCCCTAACAAACGACATGGCAATTATGTAGATGTATACTATTTTATAGGCAACATCTAGAAATGTTAATTTGTGCCTAATGAGTACAGACTCCTGGCTGTATATCTGCAGTGTGAGATCTAAGGCTCTGCCATCTGTCTGCTAGTCTCAGCAGATTTGGAGCGAGATCTATTAATGTCACTACTGTCCTTACTGAAGGCTCTGACATGAAGAAGCAAAGCCATACCTCTGTATGAATAAAGCCTTACAAAAAGGCTTCTAACCTGAAGGACCATGTGGACCTTAAAAACTGGTACATCCTCTACAGGAACTTAGAGATCTTGTTCAAACAAGATGGCAGGGCCCATGGTAGGGACCACCCACTTCATAAGGAAGCGATTCCCAATAGGACATTTCTGGGCAAACCGTTTAGGAGGAAGAGATCAACTTCTCAAAGTGATCCCAGTCACCATACAACACAGACTGAATAGGAAAGGTTTTAGCAAGTTTAGGCACTTTCAAGGACTCCAAACTTGTCCCCTTTAGAAAGGTTCAGGCAGGTGGTTCTAGCCGTAAACAAGTGCAAACTGCATCCACAAGAACAGAAACCGTGACCTTTACCTTAGAAATGACTCCAAAGAACTGGAAACCGTACCTTTATCCCCCTTTTTGTCAAGCAGTGAAAATGCAGGCAGAGGAGAGTCAGAGGGGGTCCTTGAGAAAGCAGGAAAGAGGGCCAGTCTGCTGCCCCTACAGTTAGATGTATCAAGGAGATCAAACATTTTCTCCATAACATATGACATGGCAGCGTGAATTACTCTCTAGATATTAAGTTAGAGGAGGGTGCCCTAGGGAGAAGAGAGAGACCCTAATGCTAGCAATGACCGGGATAAAAAACACAGCATAGGACTAACAGAAATGGTGTCCCCAGTGGGAATAGACATGCCATTTTATCTTCACACCTCGGGTGAGCATAAAACCTAAGGGGATCTTCGGGGTCGGAGGTTCATTAAATGGACCACAAACCCAGACCTGTAAAGAACCCTGCAGATACCCACAAATGCTGCACAAGTATCAATGGGGGTGCTCAACGCAGGGTTCAATGGCCGAGACCATTACAGGCCAGTCCTGCATTTTCCTTTCGGCAAGGTCTGGGTTCGGTCCGCCAAGGCTCTGCCAGGAAGAAAACCGATCCAGATAGCTGCTGGAGGTGCCTCAGTGGTTTAGAGGAACATTAGAGAAACCTGCTCTAAGAGTTTTGAAGAATAAAATCTCAGAGAAACTTAGTGTAGAAGAAAGTACTTCTAAGCTGATCTGAGTGAAGGTATCCATCACCTAAGGACACTGGCAAAAAAATTAGGGATTATGTAGGGCTGTCCTGCAGATTTGATTGATTTGTCTGTGTCTAATTACCTGAAGGTAGCTGAAAAACCAAGAGGTTAAAGTATTTAACTCTCTGTATCCTGTGACGTATGATCAAGAAACTGGAGCTTTTTGGCAACTTACATCAGCACTGTTTAAAGACAAAACAAATTAGGCTTTAAAAGAAAAGAACTGTACCTACTGTAAACATGGAGGGAAACTCAGTTATGTTTTGGGGCAGCTTTGCTGCAACTTGCCTGAGGTGCCATGAATCTGTACAGGTCACAAAGGAATCTGAAGACTCAAGGAATTCTGTAGTGAAATGCCCTGTGCCAGCAAGTGCGGTCTCAATCATAGGTCATGGGTCTTCCAACAAGATTTGACCCCGGGGTAATCACACAGTAACCCATCAATGACCCAAAACACACAGCTTAAACCACAGAAGAATGGCGGAGATCAAAACATCGGACTATTCTGAAGTCCCTTTCTATGTGCCCTGGTCTGAAAACTATGGAAAATATGTGGAAAGAGACAAAATATGCAGTCTGGAGAAGACACCATTAAAACCTAAGACACCTGGAGCAGTGTGCTCAAGAAGAGTGGATAAAACTACATGTTAGCAGGGCAGAAGTCTCATTGAGCGTTACATAAATCGTTTGCCTCCAAACGTTGTGCAACAAAATTAGTCTATGGGTCCCATCAATTTTGTTCATGTAATTTTCATTTGTTTTATTTAAAATATTCTGTTGAGTTTTATTAAATATGTACTTGTTATGATGGATGTGAATTACATTTGACAGTTTTAACAGAGAAAATTGTGGATTTCTCTTTTTTTCATGGAAAGGTACGAACAAGTTTGTCCATGGCCTTGTCCCTTGGCCAACCACAGTATTTTCACTTCTCAGCATTACCTCTTTCATTGTGCTTCTGCAAAAGCGCTTGGACAGCACATCTGTAAACACCTGTCCTCCTTGAATTTTTTGCCTGCGAGGGACCTTTTTGATTCAGTCAACCATCCTATGTCTTGTTGATGTGATCATTGTTGCCATTGTATAAGAAATGTTTACACTGATCTGTCTTCAGCTGCCTCAACTCAATAGATCATGACTTTTCCTTTACCCAGTTTCATTCCTCCTAGAAAGCTGATTCTGTTTGATATAATTGTTTTTCACCTGCATATTATTTTGTTGATAAGTAGCCCGTCTGGAATAATTGTTTAATCATACAATTAACCATATGCCTGCAAAATCCTTAACTGTGTGAAAGTGCACCTAGGAGAATGGCTAGTGTTTCAGCCAGTGTGCGTGTGCAGTCTCTACTGCAAAAACTGCCTCGCCCTTCCTAGCATGTGGACTTAGGCAGTGTTGGGTGCTTTCAACTAGTGTAGCTCACCTGGTCTGACTTTATTCATATGTGGCCATGGGGAATAGAACCTGAGAGCACACCAATGTTTAGACTTACATAGAATGGAGATACAGTTTTCCCTCCAACTGTAAGAACGGCACTTATATTACCAGCCTCTTCTTTTGGCACATACTTTATCACATGGCAGTCTCGAACCTGGTAAAAAAAAACAGTAACAGATGTTTTGAGCAAATGATATATCAAAAAAGCTTATAGTACTTTTTAATCTTAACGCGCTGATTTGTCAGTACAGAGGTGGCAACACAATAGGACAAATAATAAAATGTAAGCACAGCTCTTTTGGATGGAGATTGGGATTGCCATTTATTTTTGACTCATAAGCTCTCTATGTCTACCTCCTTGCAGGAACTAAATTATAAATTACTTACAAGGTGGTATAGTTGTCCGGCGCTATTGCACAAAAACGTTCCTTCGATCCTGGACCTTTGCTGGCATTGTGGTGAACCGGGAGCGATGGGATCCTGTTTTTCGGCTGTACGCTCAAGTATCAGGATCATCTGTGTGTCCTTCTCCTGAGGTGGTGCCCTTTGTGACTCTGCTGGGTTCACTTGCTGTGCTTAAGAATGGGATTCTTTTGGGATTTTTTGGGAGGCCGTCACTGGCCCCCTCTGTGAGGACATTTGTATCGGAAGTAAACTGCTTGATGCAACTGGAAAAATTAGTCGTACAGATGCAGGACCAGTAGCCAATATTTGTCGAAACCTGGAGTGTGCAGATAGCGTTTATTTATTCATCTCATCTTAGCTCATTCCTACATTGATTTCTACTTAGCCTGGATATGTCCTTGTCCTATGCCTTTTTGGAAGAGGTGGCATCCAACCCTCCTAGTTGTGCTGTTTTCTATAGGCTCTTGATTCTTCTTTCTCTCCGATTCTCTCTCGTTTCTAAATACTCTGTCTTTTTTTCATGCTTATCTACTTCTGTTTGGCAGTCCTAGGACTTTGGGATTTGGATGCTTTATCTTTTTTATGTTCTAAACTGACACTACACTGGTTACGTCTGGAAGCTTCCATCAGTCCTCAGCTCCCTAACAATATTTGTCATTGTTTTGTATAGTCATTGTAAGTACAGGGAACTGTTGTATGCATGTTTCTATTATGAGCATGGTTGTTCTTTTTTGTTCTTATAATAAAGATATATTATAGCAATAAAAAAACATATGCACAGTACCCGGTAGTTATATTTTCACATACAGCATTATCGTTTATCGAGAATTCACTGGAATAAAGTAATGTGAATACTTTCAAAGCAAAAAGTGGTTAACTAACTTCTTTAGGTGTGAATTTCCTGGTGAAAAAAGTTAGGCAACTTGAATGGGAACAAAAGGAGGAAACCCAAGTTTAAATGGATCAGTAGCACCGTTGAAAAATTACATAAACACAGGGAAAACATACTACATGCAGATAGAGGCTATTGTGAAAGTCAAATCAAAAGGACATCAGTTCTGCAAGGCAAGGTGCAAAATAGTTAACCAAAAGGCTCAATTTACTAAGATCAATCAACGAAGACCAACTGAAACTTTGCTTTTTATTACTATAATGCATTCAGGCTACATAAGGAGTAAAAAAAACAAAAAACGGGTATCTTTATTTTATTTTTTGGCTGTCCTTGTGTGCTACAGCTAGGGTTAAATACTCTGTTTTGGTTGTATGCTGGAGATCCAGATCAATTCTCACTTCTTCTTGATTGGAACACTGTGCAGGAGGTGTATTAGACTGCAGCAGACAAGAACTGCTGTGCTCTGTGTTGAGCAGAGTTTCAGATCCCCAGAATGCTACCAGCACAGGGCAAGTTGCAGCAAGAGTACAGTAAGGAAGAAAACAAAAAAACAAAGAAAAAAAACACGCTTTTACTACTGTTCATGCAGCCTGACTGATAAAACACGTCTGATAACCTTTGTAAATTAATTTAAACATATTGTACATTTTTAAGATCAGGAGTATTGAAATACACAAAGTTTTCTAAAATAAAGTTAAGTAATCCCTTTTGTGAACTGGTATATTCAATATCCCTATAATGATGAGAATACGAGTGATCTCATTAGATCACTCGTATTAAAGCCGAGCAGTGGCTCCTACTCCTCGCCCTGCATGTCTCGGGCGTCGGGATTTGCTCCATAAGACGCAGGCACATTTTCCCCCTCCTTTTGGGGGGAAAAAAGTGCGTCTTATGGAGCGAGAAATACGGTAATCGATATATGCAAAAAAAAAAAAAAGATAAAATTCAAGAACACTCAGCCTTTCTCTCTATATTGTTGCAAAGCCTAAAAGCACTTACATTGCAGTTCCACTTTTACTGCCAAATTGGAATACGACCTACTTATAAGTGGTATGCATTCCCAATCATATAGCATAATCTAAAGAAAACAATTGCTGCTTTTTTTTAAAAATATATCAGGCTCCAGTAGTTCCATATACAGCTGGTTTTAGACAGACTTGGAGGGAGGTGGGTCAGAACGTGTAGCCAATTAGGATCTGCTGCAGTGTACATGTGTTTACAAGAAAAGAGAAGATAGGGAATACCCCATCTGCTGCCGATCCTTCACTGTCCAATCAGTGGGATGGGTTTGTTTTGCACAACTGCTCATCAACATGCTGTAATGTAAAATTTGATCCTTTTTTTATTGTTTTATTAGTAATCATTAAAAAATTGTGTATATATATATATACACGCACACACATAACATAAAATACACACATACACACACAGTACATATACATATTATACACACACACACACACACACACCGATCAGCCACAACATCATGAACAATGAGAGGTGAAGGGAAGAACACTGATTATCAAGTTACAATGGACCCTGGAAATGGGTGGTGCAGGAAGTGCACATTTTGACCCTGAGGGCCAGTTCACACCACAAACAGTGTGTTCCAGAGCTGTCAGCCTCTGAAACGCACTGTATGCAACCAGGCGGAGCCTCGAAGTCAGTGTCTCCTACCCCTGAATGCAGGGAGCCAGCAGGGTTGCGATACACTGCGTTCCAGAGGCTGACCACTTTCGAACGCACTGTTTGTAGTGTAAACCGGCCCTGAGGTTGATGTGTTAGCAGCAGAAAAAAAATAGACAAGCATAAGCATTTGAGTGACTTTGACTAGGGCCAAAATGTGACGGCTAAAACGACCGGGTCAGAACAACTCCAAAACTGTGACTTTTGCGAGATGTTTCTGGTCTGCAATGGTTAGGACCTACCAAAAAGTGGTCCAAGGAATTAAAACCGGTGAATTAGCGACAGGGTGGAGAGCAAAAGGCTGGCTCATGTTGTCCAATCCAATAGAAGAGCTATTAAATTGCTGAAAAAGCCAATGCTGGTTTCAACAGAAAAGTGTCTGAACACACAGGGCATTTCAGTTTGTTGCATATGGAGCTACATAGTTGCAGACCAGTCAAGAATGCCCATGCTGATTCGTAGCTTCTGATACAATCGATCGAGCGTCTCTTGAGACGCTCGATCGCTTGACTGTAAGCTCCCGGCCGGCCGTGTAATTACAGACGAGCAGATTTTCGAGCCCTGCCGATTCGTGTCCACCGCCAAAAGCACCTACAATGGGCACGTTTTCATGGATGGCCGGGTCCATGTGTGTTGCTTACCTGGGGAAGAGATAGCACCAGGATGCACTATGGGAACAAGGTAAGCCAGCGGAGGTATGAGAGGTTTTGGGCAATGTTCTGCTGGGAAACTCTGGGTCCTGCAATTTATGTGGATGTTACTTTGACACGTACCACCGACCTAAACATTGTTGCTGACCAAATACACCCCTTCATGGAAACGGTATTCCCTGATGGCAGTGGCCTCTTTCATCAGGATAACGCGCCCTGCTGCACTGCAAAAAAGGTTTAAGAATGATTTGAGGAACACAATAACGAGTTTGAGGTGCTGACTTGGCTTCCAAATTCTCCACATCTCAATCCAATTCAGCATCTGAGGGATGTGCTGGAAAAACAAGTCCGATCCATTGAAGCCCCACCTCACAACTTACAGGACCTGCTACTGATGGCTTGGTGCTAAATACCACAGCATACCTTCAGAGGTCTAGTTCAGTCCATAGGAAATTATGGACACTGGCACTCCAAGGTAGAATAACGTCTTTTTATTGGCGTTTCATGCAACAATACACTTATTGCATTGCAACGTTTCGGGGTCACACAGGATCCCCTTTATCAGGCAGAACGTATATCTATATACTATTCAGACGGTGGTCATCCGTCGACTACTGATGCACCTAACCTATTACTACGGATTAGCGGTAAGGAGTGCAATGGGTACATGGACTGTAACTAGTTCAGTCCATGCCTCGACATGTCAGCGCTGTTTTGGTGCCAAAAAAGTGGAAGTTCTCAATGTTAGGCAGGTGGTCATAATGTTATGGTGAGTGTGTGATTATATATATATATATATAAAAAAAAAAACAGTTTAGAAAACACAGAAAAAAATGTGGAGCCATTCATGTGGTGAAACCTGGCTGTAACATTCTAATACTATTTCAAATGTAAATTGAAACCTTCCCTGTGGACAGGCCAAAAATATTCTGCATGAAAAATACAGGCAAACACATTTTGAATTCAGACAACATATACTGCATGCTGGCTTCTCAGAATGCACAGTAGGCCAACAAATCAAGTTATATGTGAGTATTGTAGATACTACACAGATAAATGTTCATTTACTCCAGTTGCTAAAAGGAAAATGACTGCTACATGTAGATAGGGCTTTGTGGTCTGATTAAATCATTTTTGGTATCCCTCCTCCCCAGGAAAGAAAATAGACTTTTATATTAGGGCTGTTACTGATTAAAATTTTCGTGTTCGATTAATCGAAATTTGTTTAAATCGAATCCGGACTCCTACCCCCTTCCCTTCGTTAGCCGACAGAGCCACTTGGGGAAGGGGGGAGGAGTCCGGTGACATCGATGTCCGTGATGTCACCGGATCTCCGACAGGACACCCGGAAGCCGGCGAAGAGGTGAGTATTTTTCATTAGCGATCAAAAAAATTTTAATCTCACAAAAAATTACCCTACGGTAGTATCTCACTCCCTATAGACTGGCAAAATTCTCTAGTGATGTACAGACTTGTGTTGGAGAGAATGTAATCAGGTCGGAATGCTACTTCATATGTTCT